AAGGCCGCAGTGCGTCTGCTAGATACATCTATCGGGGATAAACGAAGGCCTCAGTGCGTCGTTTATTCGCAACCCAGTATAGACAAAAGATCGATCCGTCATCAGCGCGGTATAGCGCCGCGTAGAGCCAGTACCCGCAACATATTACTGTTGGCGATGCGCGTGCGCACACCAACACCCGGTCAGGCACGCCAGCGTGCGGTAACGCATGCCAGCGTGCAGTATCACGCGTCAGTGGCCTCGTCAGCGCTCAAATGAGCCGCACGAGTAGCCAGCGCCGCGGGTGACGCCTAGTAGCGCCCACGCAGCGCAGTCAGCAGCCCAGCGTCCAGTTGACCGTCGATTGTGCACATAATGCACCCGATAGTCATGTTCAGTGCACACAACACGTACGCTAGTTCCCAGCGTCGTGTATGCGATGCAGCGGTTAATTATCCGTCACGCAGGCCGTGCCCAGTGGCCGCCAGCATGCATACCAGCCCTTGTTCAAGTACAATTTGTGTCCAGCAGCCAGTGCCCGCGGCCAATCCGGGTAGCGTCCGTGCACGCGACCTTGGTGGTCTGTTGGCCGAGTTAGTCGCCGACCAACCGGTCCGAACAGACCGACGGTCCGGCCAGACCAGTTCAAAGTAATTTAGACCGGTTCCTTCATATTTTATTATATTAAGTTCCGGTTCATGATTTCAGTATCATTTTCAGTTAAATTTCAAGACCAGTTCAGTTCAGTAAATTTATGTCAGTTCAGCCCCGAGTTTATTCAGTTCCGGTTGTACCGGTTAAATCCAGATATCATTGTAAAGTCTAGTAGAGCATCTTAACATATTAAACAGTTATTTTATCAGTCTGAGCATAGTATTTAGTAATTGTTTATATTATTTTCAGCTCAGGTGGGAACTCAAACTGAGTATTACATTGAGTATAATTACAGTTATCATGTTCAAGGTATGTATAATTAGTTCCTGCTCAGTGAGGCTTGACAAAGTAAGACCATCTGAGTTCTAGTGACGTAATCTGCCCACTAGAGTGTGCACATAGGCGCGACGCAGTATATTATAGCCGCCAGATACAGTATTAGATCCCGTAGCAGTTACGGTTGATCGCAGTTACAGTACATGACATGACAGTTCAGTTATATATGCTTTAGATCATGATATTGCAATTATTATTACTGTTTTACTTTAGTATGAGTTTCCACGGAGCATAGTGGACCTGAGTGCTCACGCTCCCACTATTATCATGTTTTTCAGGTCATGAAGTCAGAACGGAGGAGTGAGATGATGGAGCTGTTCGGGATTATGCTTATAAAGTTTAAATTACCTAAGCTTTATGCTTATAAAGCTTAAATTATGTTTTGTACAGTTTGAATTTGGGATAGCAGTGCCGTTATTATTTCAGATAACTTGTTTTCACGATCACGGTACTGCTATCCAATTTCACCACTACAGTTTCCGCTGATGTTTTACTGTTCGTCATTCTTAGTCAAATGAATCAGTCGGTGAACTGTTAGTTGGTTTTTCAAACCAAAAGTCCAGATTTTTCAGTCAGTTATGTATTTTAGTAGCACTCCGAATCAGTATTTCGTAATGTAAAACGTTTTATTTTGAATGTAATTGCGAAAAGTGCGCTCTGATTTTCATGATAAGGCGGGGTGTTACAGTTTCATCTTCTAGAATCTCCCACACAAAGTGATAGCGAACATCAATATGCTTCGTTCTTGCATGAAATACTTGATTTTTTGCTAAGTGAATAGCGCTCTGACTGTCACAATGCACTAAGACGTGCTTTTGACCAACTCGCAAGTCTTCAAGCAAACTTTGAAGCCAAATAGCCTCCTTCACAGCTTCAGTAACCGCCATATACTCTGCCTCTGTTGTAGACAAAGCAACTGTTGACTGTAAGGTAGACTTCCAACTGACTGGAGCTTTTGCAAAAGTGAACAAATATCCAGTCGTTGATCTTCGCTTATCCAAATCACCCGCATAGTCAGAATCACAATATCCAACTACACACTGACCAAATTCATTCTGCTCATAAACCAATTCAACGTCTACAGTACTATGAATGAACCGTAGAATCCATTTCACAGCTTGCCAATGACCTTTCCCAGGGTCATATCATATACCTGCTAACAACACCAACTGCTTGTGAAATGTCGGGCCTTGTACACACCATCGCATACATCAAACTGCCAACTGCATTTGCATATGGGACTCCAGTCATGTACTCTCGTTCTTCATCACAATTTGGCGATAACTGGGCACTTAACTTCAAATGAGGGGCTAGTGGTGTACTTATTGGCTTCGAATCATCTTTTATGCCGAAATGCTGTAGTACCTTATTCAGATATTGCTTTTCAGTCAAACAAAGCTTGCCTCTCACTCTGTCCTTGCTTATCTCCATCCCGAGTATCTTCTTAGCTTCCCTCAAGTCTTTCATCTCAAACTCTTGATTCAACTGAGCCTTCAATTGATCAATCTCCACTTGGCTCTTTGATGCAACCAACATGTCATCCACATACAAGAGTAAGTAAATGAAAGATTCATCTTGCAGCTTGCGTAAATACACACAATATCATGTCTGCTTCGCGTGTACTTATGCCCAATCATAAACTTAAGAAACCGTTTGTACCACTCCCTCGGAGATTGCTTCAGTCTGTACAACGATTTGTTCAACTTACAGACCCAATTCTCTTTTCCAAGAATTTTGAATCCTTCTGGCTGAGTCATGTAGATTTCTTCATCCAAATCTCCGTGTAAGAACGCCGTCTTCACGTCAAGTTGAGCTTGTAACACCCCGCCTAAACTTACTAAAATCAGAGTAAATTTTTCGCGCTATAAATGGAAAGCACTTATTTAATTTTCGAAAATTTATATTAATTTTTCAAAAATACTTTAACTTTAAAACGCAGGATGCTACTCAACTTCAATCTTATATCTTTATCTCTTTAGTCTATCATGCATGCGACCAAGTAAATTCATTCTAGAATTAAGGCCATGAATAATACCGGATAAATCATGCATATTCTGAAAATCTGACATAATCTGAAATTTGAAATACTAGACTGAAATCTGACATCTGAAACACAAGTCTAATATGCGGAAGCAGAAATAATTCGGAAAGCACACACAAAACATAAGTAAATGCGATGACAAATGATGTTTAGACATGTTCGAATAACTATATGACATGTCATATCAAAATGTCCTGGCTGATGACCACCACCACATATCCGGCTCACGCTGCACGCGGGACTCCGTCACCTAAAAAAAAGGGTAGTGGGGAGGCGCGAGCACAAAGGAATCAACGGTGCTCCGCCAGAACCGGCACTGAATACTCAGCACAATTAATAACAAACTATGAAATCAGCAAATATATGAGAAAACTGGTCTGACTATGGGACTAATGGTAAACCGGTACTCATGTGAACACTCTGGGGGTCCCCTCCCACAGAAATCCAGGCTGGGCCTCGCCCACTCATCTGGACGCTAGACTTAGGCTGGGCCTCGCCCACTCATCTAAGTCATAACTGACATTTGATATCTTGACCAAGACGAGATCACTCATCCGTCTCGGTCCTTCACTTTAATCACATATAGATCTCAAACATGGTAAATTATTAAAAGCGATGAAATACACAGTACATGGTCCCCACCTGGAAACTGGCGAAAAGCGAATGCTGAATATATCTGAAATGGGTAGCTGATGGAGGCTCGACTCTCCTCAAGCTACAAAATATATTGAGCAAAATATTCTAAGTACTAGGCTCAGAATAAAACTCAAATCTTTAATATCTTATATATCTAGGTTCGCTCACTTGGCTTTAAAAATCATTTAGGGATTTACGAGCTGAGTTTGAAAATATTATCGTCGTTGAGGCATTCTATAGTTCTCTGAAATATTTCTAAGTCTGGGACTAGGATCTGACTTAATCTAATCTGACTGAAATCTAAACTATATCTGAATCTTAAATCTACCTGAAATTCTTAACGTTATCTGAAATCTTCATCTGACTGCATCTGAAATTTATCTGACATTCTATCTGAAATATATTTCGAACAGTCCAGCTGACCGGACCAGTTCGACTGAACTGGACCGACAGCTCACTCGGAGTCGGTCGGTCATTCGCTTAACTATGTGCAGCTCGGTTTGACCGTGGTCCGAGTTCGGCGTGGCGACTCGGTGCACGGGCACGCACTCGGGGGTGGCGACTCGGTGCTTGGACCACGGATAACAGAACGACGCGTAGACGGCAAGTCGGATGGACTCGGTGCACGGGCACGCACTCGGGGGTTTGACTCAGACTCGGTGCACGGGCACGCACTCGGCGACTCAGCTCCAACGGTCGGACGAGAGACGATCACGACACGAGATGACGATACGCATTACGAATTACGATACGACGTTTAAAGATTATCTAGACGGTACTAGGGTTCAGACATTTATAATCGGATCCAAAAAAATACCCGGTTATCGAAACCGGATAAACTAGGGTTTTGATTCCAGAAAATCCTAACTCAGTTAAGGCCGATATTTAATATACATATTCTATGTGATTTATAATAAATCTGTAATCCACAACTGCAGCTAAAGTCTCAGTCAAACTATTATTTTATTTATACGGCATTAATATCTAAAGTCTCGATTTTTATAACTAAGTCAAACAACATCCAAAATTTACGAAAATTGAAACATAACATCCTCAATATATATATAGTCTATGGTCAACATCTCAAGTCAAAAGTCAACTCCTAACTCAGTCAACTAAAGATCGCTACGACCGGTCAACGCATTTGACCGGCTCGTTTACCTATCAAACGACGTCCGAAAAATCTCAAATTCGCACCTAAGCCTCAAGACAATAAATTATGATTTATCAAATTTAAATAATCATTTTATCACTTTGTTTCAAAAGTCGAACATATTCGCTTTAAGCCCGAAAATCCGATTTATTCAAAATCGCTCAAATCACCCGATTCATTAATTTTATATCATCTCAAATATTTTATCTAAGCCATTAAGATCGAGTTCTAGTGATTATACCTCACAATGCTCGAAAACGAGCAGATCGGGATAGCACAATAGAAGATCGGGCTAGAACAAGAGTCAAAGAAGTCAAATCGGGCCGGAATAGAGCTTCAAGCTTGTTGAAAATGGGCCTTAGGTGCTGCTAGTCGGAGCTAGGGTCGAAAAATGGAGCTGCTGAGTCGTGGAGAGCAGCTGGGGGTCGGTTTGCTGTTGAGGGCCGCGGGTCCGGTCGGATTTTGAGCAGGGGTCGCGGGTCCAAGGTGCTGGGCGCGGAGGAGCTGCTCTTACCGAGGTTGGCTTGCCGGAATAGGGTTTGGAGGCGGCAGTTGCGAGCTGGACGCGGGTGTTGGTGACGGGAACGAGCTTGGTCAGAGCTTGTATGGACGACGGAGTTGGAGGAGGTGGTGGTGACGGGATGAGGTAAGCTCGTCGTGGTGGCCTGGTCGCGAGCTCGACAGGAAGGAGCGGCTGAGATGTGGTGGTGAGCTCGGGCTGGAGCTTGACGCTCGCGTACAGTCGGGCCTGCGTGCGGGCTGAGATGGAAATGGCGTGAGGGTCGCGGCTGCGGCTTGTCGGTGCGAGCTGGAACAATTGCGTGAAGGTGGCCGGAGATGGAGGTCGCGGTTGAGCTTGTCGTGGTGGTCAGGTCGCGGGTTTATCGTGAACAGACTGAGCTTGGTTTGAACTCTGGAAGCTCGGGCTGGGGGTCTGGACGCGGCGGTGGCGAGCTCGCCGGGGAAGATGGCCGGAAAACAGAGGTGGACGGCCGGATTTCCGAGCTTCAAGCCATGGGTTCTTGAGGAGATGAAGAAAAGCTTGTTTTTCTTTGGTGTTTAAGCTTAGATCTTGAACAAAGTGAAGATGAATGTTTAGATCTTGATGTTGGAAGAAAGATGATGATGAATAGTGTTTGGTGACTAGGGTTTTTTTGTAGGATGTTGAAGAAGAGGGGACAATTCTATTTATAGAAAGTGTAGGGGAGCTTAGGGTTTTCTTGCTATTGGGCTTTAACATTGGGCTTAGGAATCGGGCCACAAAATCGCTACATAAACGGGCTAGTAAAAATCCTACGCTTGGGCTCGATTTTAAATCGGATATGAACTTAAGAAATTAAATGCTCGGGCTTGCTAAATAATATTAGTCGAACTAGGACTAATTAAATTAGTCGGTCGAAATAATTACTAATAATGGGCTCGATATAATTAAATTATCCGGCTTCAGATCACTTAAATAAAATTCCAACTTTAATAATTAAAGTCGGAAGAATTATTCATGGCTTAGACTTTGATACTAATTATTTAATTTAATGCAAATAAATTTAAATAATGCATCAAATTTAGAAACTTAATATTAATGTTAATATAGTCGAGCTCCATAAATAGAATTAAAAAAATCTGGGCGTTACAATCTATCCTCCTTAAAATATTTCTGTCCTCGGAAATTCTAAAACTAACATAAGTCCGACTCGACTATAAACTAGGAATCGAAAATACATAGTACTAATCAGAACTGGAAATCAGGATAACGAGCACGAATCTCCTCCTCTCGCTCCCACGTGGCCTCGGCCTCGCCGTGGCGAGTCCACTGGACTCGAACGAGCGCTACATCTCTGCTCCTCAGCTGCTGAACCTTTCGGTCCAGAATAGCAATCGGCTGCACCTCGTACGTCAGGTCCTGCCCGACATCAAGCTCACTGTAACTCAACACGTGCGCTGGGTCATACACGTAATCCTTCAGCATCGAAACGTGGAAGACGTTGTGCACACCCGAAAGCTCGGGTGGCAACGCCAACCGGTATGCTGTCTCACCCACTCGCTTGAGGATCTCGAATGGGCCTAAGAAACGGGGCTGCAGCTTCCCCCTCTTCTCGAAGCGGACCACGCCTCTCAAAGGCGTGATCTTCAGGAATGCCTTATCTCCCTTCTCGAACTGGATATCTCGTCTACGCTGGTTAGCGTAACGCTTCTGTCGATCCTGTGCCACCTTCATCCGCTCACGGATCAAGGCGACGTTCTCCACCGTGTCCTCGATCATCTTCGGACCGAGAACCTGCCGTTCGCCGACCTCATCCCAATAAAGGGGTGATCGGCACTTGCGACCGTACAACGCCTCGTACGGTGCCATCTTGATCGACGCCTGATAGCTGTTGTTGTACGCGAACTCAATCAACGGCAACAACTCCTCCCATGAACTACCACGGTCCAGAACACATGCTCGAAGCATGTCCTCGAGTGTCTGGATGGTCCGCTCCAACTGTCCGTCGGTCTGCGGGTGGAAAGCGGTACTGAACCTCAACTGTGTCCCTACGGCCTCGCTGAGGCTCTTCCAGAACTGACCGATAAAACGGGGATCTCGATCTGACACTATGACTTTGGCGACTCCATGAAGTCGCACTACCCCGCGGATATGGATACTCGCGAGCTGCTCCATGGACATCGTCATCCGCACGGGCAAGAAACGAGCCGACTTCGTCAGTCGGT